ACCAGATGGAGAAGCAAGGGTTCCTCCACAGCTTGGGACGGCAACCCTTCCAGCACACGGGTGCCTCCTCAGCCAACATCAATAGCAGCCACTGGTTATACTGGGCCCTTGGACAGATGCTACAGAGAGGCCTTGGCAACAGCAAGGCAGTGGGTACACTGGCTGAGCACAGGGTGGGGCTGCCTGGGTGCCTTCTGCCCATCCTGGCTGCTAGCAAATGCCAGAATCTTCCTGAAATGGAACATGTAGGTCATGTTCTCCAGTGTGCCCGATGCATTATCTCTTTGCTACCATCGTGGGAACGGAATTAAAGTAGTTACGTTCAGGGCAGAGGTGCTAACCACAGGCTCAGATGGCAATGCCATTTGACAACACACAGTAACGAGGGGCTTGGGCATGGGCATGGACAGGACAGGCAGTACCAGGTTCCAGACACGCAGGATTCTCTTTCTGGGATCTTTCAAGAGGGTTGAGAGCACATAGGATTTGGCTGCTTACAACCCTAGAACATTCCCTGTGCCTGTACCCTGCAGGCCACAGTGACCCTGTGAGAAAGCCATGGCCACTCTGCATAGATTTCACATGGTTGGGAGAGGACTTGTCTGCAGGAGAAGTGACTTTTTGCTTCTGCTTGGGAAGGGGCATCAAATTCAACACAAGGCTGGACCATTTTCCTGTAGCTTGAGTGAAGGCTGCTCACTAACACAAGTACACTGTCCATGGCTCTGTGGGGAAGGGGCAAAAAGCTACCATGACCTTATCCATGTAGAGCAGCTGGCCTTGTAGAGGGTGGAGAGACCATAAGTGGTAATAAAGATGATCATTAACTTGGGGAGAGGTTAAAGGTGACTGACTGGTGAGTGGTGTCGCTGGGGCATCGGGCAGACTCTGCTGGGAGCAGAAGGGCAGCAATGGCAGGAAGTGGCAGGGTGGGGCCCGCCAGGATCCCGCTATCTCAGGCAACCCAATCACTGACGCCCACACAGCCGTTTCCTGCACTTAAAAAAATCTGTTTCTCTCTTTGCAAATCAACAACTTTTACCTAGAAACTTCAGCGGTGAGTTCTGACTGATCTCCATCTCCGTCCGTTGCAGAAAACACAACACTGTTTACCTGGGGGAGGCTCGCACTCACTCCAACTGGCAGGTTTCAGGACTGGTTTGCATGTGTCTGAAAGCAATCAGTTGCCTCAGTACCAGACAGACACCTGCAGGTTATTCAATACCTTGACAGACCTTTCTAGAAAAGATCTCCAGGCACGAGAATGTAGCACTTTCAAAATACCCAACTTGTGTGCACACCCCAGCAGCCTAAGGAACACACTGTGTGGCTTCAAGAAGAGAACTGTACCCTCGGCATTGGGCTGCTATCCATGGGCAGGCAACTTGAACTGCTGACAACAGCAGTGACAGTTCCGAGGCTGGGAGCGGGGAACAGTGGAGGGGCACAGGAAGATGCACGGAGCTGATCTCTGTGTGAGAAGAGACTGAATTGACACCTAGATAAAACAGAACAGCAGAAGGCACTGCATAATTACATGCCACCCAGACCCAAACTGACACTCACACTGGGTGAATATGACCTTCAGGGGACCTACACTTTAAGTTCGACACCCTAAACACCAACACTTTTCAACAGAAGACACTTCTCTGAACTGTAACCTCATTTGGGTCAGACCATGTGATTGCCTGTGGGAAAAGGGTCCAGTAGGTGGAGATGGCTGTGTGTGTATGAACACAGGATGCAATGCAGGTCCTGCATAACATTACCACACCAAGTGTTTTACTTAAAAGCCTGGGCTCAGGCTGTGGGAAACTGAGGCTAAGTGAGCTTTGGGCATGAGTCCAGGGCTACCCAGGGACCCTCATGTACACAAAAGCAGCCTGACTGAACAACACCTCAGATTCTAGTTGGACAGGTGGGCCAGAGCCAAGCGGCCACTTCCAGGCACAGGGATCCAGCAGGATTCCAGGGAGTCCCTGTCCCTGGTCTAGAAAAGCCCAGGTAAGAAGGTGGTGGTATAACACGTATTTCACAGGCAGGGCAGTGAAATTGCAGGGAAGCTGTGATCCCCCAAGATTCAGGAATCATGGGGGAACACAGTGTTGCATGCTTTCTCTGTTGGACCATGGTGGTCCTTGGGAGCAGAGCACCCCCTCCTCCTCTATCCATCCCCCTCCTAGCCATGCTGGGACCAGCCCTCCCACCACAGGCTCCATGTCTGATACCCTAAGGGTCAGAGTGATGGAGTGTGGCCAGCTGAAGGTGGTTATTTCTGTACACTGGTCATGTGGTTTTCCCCAGTGGAAAAGGGTGGGCAGAAAAACACCATCCAAAACCAGGGCATAGAGATCCTGTTCCAAACACCATAAAATAAGATAAAGGTACCACCTTAGCTTGGCTAAGTCGCTTAAGTGGTCAGAAAATGAGAAGTGCCTAGCTTCTGCCCAAGTCCAGCTGCAGGAGGAGGTCAGTTTGCATTGTTGTCCCATCCACCTATGTCAGCAGCTGCGGCATGTATGGTATGGATGGAACATGGGAAGAGGAAATAACCATGTGGCTACATTCCAAATCCATGCATGAACCAGGGACTAAGAGCCAAATGCTTTCCCATCAAACGGAGCTAATTAACAGGTCAGCTTAGGCAGCGGAGGGTCCTGAGCTATGCATGGTATCAGGCAGCTGCATGGTTAGAGGCTAGCATGAGATCAACACAACCATAGCACAGGATGCTGGGCTTACACGCACCTACCACACATCTGTACCTACCCCCCAGCAGCGTGTACACAGCCATGCCTTTCTGTTCAGCTGCTGCTTCTGGATAGAGTGAAATGAGAAACGCTTAGGCTCCCACAGGTGACCTGCAGCTGCTCACAGATTCAAGTGCAGGAGAGCCCCTAGAACCTAAAGAGAACATAGCTGGAACCCTCCTGGCTATGGTCTCCTGATTATTGATCTAAGAGCCAGTGGCAAGTAACAACAGACAAGTAATGGGTGGAGGTGGGGGCCAAAGCCAGGTGGAGATGCCATCTTCCCCTGTGTCTTGGGGTAGCCCACATGCCCTCTTGTTCTCCTTCCTCTGTGGTCAGTGGGCATCATGTTGCCTGCCCTGTCTATCTCACGGTCTCACTAGCATCAGAAGAGATAACAGTTACTCCAGGCCTCCCAGGCAAGAGCACACAGGCACACCCAGGTCATAGTGGCTGTGGCAGAGCCCTGGGCTGCATCATCAAAAAGGCGCAAGGTCCAGAGCCTCACACAGGGGCAGCTGATGGCCCTGGAGTCCCAATTCTGGACTGATTCTTAAGAGACTCAACTCTGATGTAGCAGGCTGCCCTTGCTCTCTCAATCCAGGATGAGGAGCAGACACACAGAAGGATATGGGAGGATGCGTGGTATGTGTGTCCCCACAAGAGCACATGTCTGTGGACACACACACAAAATGCAGAAGTGAGTGGGCAGGTGTGTTTACAAGTATGTAAGTGGATGCTTACGGCACACCTGACACAGGCTGTGTGGCATGCTAGGGGAATGCATGCTCACTTGACATTCTAACATTTGGCACCATGAGCATACAGGAAAAATATGTAGATAGGTGCACACATGTTCAAGCCTTTGCTCTCAAGGCCCATGTGAGCCTTGAGTGATGAAATATGCGCGTAGGCACATGTGCGTATGAGAACGCATGAGTACACACCTGTACTGCCTATGAATGAGGGGCATGAATGTGGGGGTATGCACAATTGTACATGCTTGTAGTCTACCCAGGGGCAGAGTTCCACTGCATCAGACTGCTGAGCTGATGAGTGCAGGGCACTGTTCATGGTGGAAAATTCCCTCCCTTGCACTTTGGGGTCAATATCCTTCACATTTGCTCTTAGAACTCTTGCTCCTTCCTAGCACCTCACAGAGAGCCTGCTCTAGTCACAGACTGATGGCCAGACACCCTCAGGACTCATCTGTAAGGAAGCTGGCCTGGGCACTGTCCCTGAGAGAACACTGGTGGGCCCAGTTGACAGGAGGAGAGGAGAGCCTCTTTAGGATACCTTCCTTCTATCCATCTTTTGCAGGTGGGCTGTGTAGAAAGTGGTGATCATATAGACTGAGTGAGCTCCAGGCAGGGTAGGTCCCTCCAAGAGCCACAGATGAAACTACAGGCAGATTCACAGAGAGGAACAACCTGGACTGGAAGGTGTGTGTCACCTCCCCTGGGAAGACTGCAGTGGCCTGGTAACAGGCATGGCCAGGAGTATGTACTTTGTCCTTCTGCCAGGGACAGTTGTGGCCCTGTGGCCACCTGCTGTTACTAGAGACTGGAAAGGAGACATTGCACATGCAAGTCACTAAGAAATGTTTCTTCTTCTTCAGTACTGGATATCAAAGCCAACATCTTGGGTAGGCAAGGCAAGTGCTCCACTGCTGAATCATTGAGCTCTATCCCTAGCCCTCCACATGGGAGTCACAAGTACTCAGATTCTACTTGGGGAGGTATAGTAGCCCCCTCTGGGGAATAGGGCTTGGGATAGTGAGGTTACAGGGAAGAGGGCAGGAAGCCCCTCTGGCAGCCTTCTCCCAACTGGCTGGCTCATCCAATATGGCCAAGAAAGCTACGACCTTACCCCAACACTCAGCCAGACAGGGCTACCCTGAGGCCCTGCTGCAGCCACCCCAGGCCCTCCCTGAGCTTCCATGAAAAAGGCACAAGGCCAGGAGGCTGCTGGACATTGAGAGACCATGTGCAGATGGAGAAACACAGATGCAGGCACCTTAACTGGAAACCCTTGTGTGGACACTATCACAGCCTGGACCACAGGACAGAGAAATAGCACACTACACAGACAACACTCTTAAGGGGGGGGGGGCAACATGGAGGCAACTTGGCAGAGGAGAGACCTTCCTGCCCTGGGGTCTGCTCTACTCTGGGTTGCTCACTGGAGGGGCCTTGTGCCCGCCGCCATGTCCCCACCGGCGGGTGCCTCGAGAGGAGGAAGCGTACTGACCGCTGGGCGGTTTGGGCCGTGGAGGAGCGGGCTTCTTCGGAGGCAGAGCGGGAGTGTCCTGTTTACTTTTAAAGGGGTCATCTGAGAATCCTGCGCCTCCCAAGGAGGAGGAGAAGGGGCCAGAAGGTGGGGGCTGTAAGAGAGGACACGAAAGAGGCAAAAATAGACATTAAGAGAAGGCACTGAGCAAATGCTCCCGCACCAAGAGCCCTGGTAAGACCTGAGTCCTCTCAAGCGCCCCCCCCCCCACTTTCCTCCACCCTCAAAAGGCAGGCCCTCTGTATGAAAGGAAAGCCACCAATACAAGTAGCAGAGGGTAACCCTGTCCTCCAGTGATCTCCTTTGCCCCACTCAATACCTCACATGGGTCCCTGGGACTTCTGTTCATGTTCAGAGATACACATGGCCTCAGCCTCCATTGTCCTGGGTGCTGGGACAGACCTCTCTATGGCCCCAGATGCCTGACTGCTGCAGCCCACCAGGTGATTCAGGCTAGTATGTCTGCCCCACCCCCATCTGCTGGCATAACCAGATTACCTCCATTAGCTCCACCACTCTTGGTAGCCAAAGCTTGTTTTCCCTATCTAGTGTTCAATTAAACTAGCCCCCCAATTCCCCTGCCTGAAATAAGAGTTATAATCAGATGGTGAGTAGGTGAATAAATGTGTGGATTGATGGAAGGATGGATGAACATGTGGATGGATGGACATGTAGGTAGATGATGGGTAATAAGTAGATAGATGGTGAGTTGATGGCTCTGTGTGTTAATGGGTAAATATGTGGGAGGGTGGACTGATGAAGAGATAGACTGATATGGATAAAGGGATGAGTAGATGGTACAATGGTTAGTTTAAATCCTCAAGTTGACACAATCTACAATCACCAGGAACGAAAGTCTCAACAATGAGGGTTCAAAGTCTAGATAAGGTTGGCCTGTAGAGACCCCATGGGAAGTTCATGGGGAAAGGCCTGTCTTGATTACATGAACTGAGGTGAGAAGACCTGTCCACTGTGGGTGGCACCATTTTCTAGGTAGGGAACCCTGGACTCTGTAAGTAGATATAGAGAGAGCTAAGCACAAATATATATATACATTTATCCCTTGCTTTTGACTGCATGTGACTGGCTGCTTCAAGCCCTACCCTGACTTCCCATAGTGATGGCTTAACCTGCCCCTCTCCCTTGCTTCTGCCAGGATATCTTATTAGAGACAGATGGAATAATGAGTAGATAAACAGTGGGTAGATACATGGGTGGTCTGATAGTGGGTAATCTGGTGAATGAATTAAGTATGGATGGATGGGTGAAGAGAAAGGGAGGAGGGAGGGACAGGTAGGCTATTGAGGGTAGATAGGCTATTGGTACATAGGTGGAGAAAGTAGCTGTGTGGATAAACAGAAGACAGGCCTCACCAGCAGACTGATGTAACAAGCACACTCCAAGCACTCTCCAAGGCATATAGGGCCCTATCTTCCCACAGTGGCCAGGTTTTATCCCTTAGGCCTTATCCCTGAGCTCATCTCCTCAAAAATAAAACAAACAAGGCCAGATATGATGACCCATGGAGCTCTGTGAGCACAACTGGGAACTCAGCCAGTCCTAGAGACCCCATGGGAAGTTCAGCAACTGGACCTCTCTCTCGCCTGAGCCCTGCACGTCAGTCATCACCTTGTCTTCACATTGCTCTGTGGTGGGCCTGGGCCTTTCTTCTGTGGTATAGGTTTTCTGCCACTCATGACACCCTTCCTGGTTCAGGGTCAGTGCTTGTGGCTGATGGGTGTCTCTTACCATGGGGGACACAGCCTTGACAGACCAGGAGACAAACAACACAGGCAGTTCTTCTGAGGTGCCCACAGGAGAGAGGAGCCTCACACGTGGGCAAAAAATTGGTGTATGTGGAGGGGTAAGAACTCTGCTTTTTTTGTTGGGTAGTCCTAAACTTTCCTGATTCTCCTGCCTCAGTCTCCTGGGAGTTAGGAGAACAGGCACGTGTCACCACACCTGGTGGAGAACATGTAGAACAAACAGGAAACTGAAATGGGGCTGGCAAGAAGGATTACTGTTAAGCCTGATAACCTGTGTTTGATGATCCCTGAGCATGAATGATGAAAAGAGGAAACTCTTGCAAATCACATGTATACTGTGGGGCATTTGACACATATAAATAAAGTATAGTAAAAACAAATTAACTGAAAGGTTTGGGCTTTGTGCAATTAAAAGCATTGGCTGCCCTTGCAGAGGACCTGGGTTTGGTTCCCAGCAAACAGCAGCTCCAGCGGGAGTTATTCCTTCTTTTGACCTCTGAGTGCACCAAGCATGCTGGTGTCACACAGGCATATATGCAAAACACTGATATAAAATAAAGTAATTTTTTTAAATGAAGTGTTTGGCTGGATACAGTAGCACATGCCTTTAATCCCTGTACAGGCAGATTTCTGAGTTTGAGGTCAGCCAGGGTGCTACATAGTGAGACCCTATGTCAACTTGACACAAGCTAAAGTCATCTGAGAGGAGATAGCCTCAATTAAGGAAATGCCTCCAGCTTTAATTCCAGTACTCTGGAGGCGGAGGTTAGTGGATGTCTGAGTTCAAGGCCAGCCTGAACTACAGAGTGAGTTTCAGGACAGCCAGGACTACACAGAGAAAGCCTGTTTTGAAAAACAAAACAAAACAAAACAAAACAAAACAAAACAAAACAAAACAGGAAGGAAGGAAAGAAAGAAAGAGAGAAAGAGAAAAAGCCTCCATAAGATCCATACAATCAGGGTGCCTTTAAGCACGGCGTTTGGGAGGCAGGGGCAGGCAGAGCTCTGAGTTCGAGGCCAGCCTGGTTTACAGAGAGAGTGTCCAGGACAGCCACAGTTACAGAGAGAAACCCTGCCCAACTAAAACAAAACAAAACAAAACAAAACAAAACAAAACAAAACAAAACAAAACGATCCATAAGATGAGGCTGCAGACAAACCTGTAGAATGTTTTCTTAATTACTGACTGATGTGGGAGGAGCTAGCCCATTGGGCAGTGCTATCCTCGGGCTTGTGGTCTTGGGTTCTAGGAAAACAGGATGGAGAGACGGCTCAATAGTTTGAGTGCTGCATGCTCTTCCAGAGGACCTGGGTTCAATTCTCAGCACCCACATGGTGGCTCACAACTATCTATAACTCCAGTTTCAGGGCTTCTGACACTCTCACACAGACACAAATGCAGGAAAAACACCAATGAACATAAAATAAAAAGCAAGCAAGGAAGGAAAGAAAGAAGGACGCCAATAAGCAGCATCCCTTCTTGGCCTCTGCATCAGCTGCTGCCTCCAAGTTCCTGTCCTGACTTTCTTTTTTCTGTCCTGACTTTCTTAGATGATAAACAATGATGGAAGTGTAAGCCAAATAAATCATTTCCTCCCCAAGTTGCTTTAGTCATGGAGTTTCATCACGGCAATAGAAACCTTAACGAAGACAGACCCTCTCTCAATAGCAATAAAATGTTTAATAAAATAGATAAGAACACATTTTATCCAACATATACAATAGTAAGAAAAATAGAGGTCAGATAAATCCATCATGAGCCAGGGTACATGGCACATGCCTGTGATCTTGACACTCAGCAAGGCAGAGGCAGGCAGATCTCCATGATTTCCAGGCCAGCCTGGTACAAAGTGAGGCTACACAGAGAAATCCTGTCTCGAAAAACTAGATATATAGATAGATGGATGGATGGATGATAAATAAGTAAAATAGAAAGCAGGACCAAGCCAGGTATGAGAACTCTGCCTTGAAAAACCAACCAACCACCAAACAAATCCATTCTTGACAGAAAACGGGACCAAGCCAGGCTTGATGGCACAGCTGCCATCCCAGGGTATTTACAAGCACTGGGTAGAAGTGAGAATAAAGATGACTTGAAACTCCTCAAAGGAGCACAGTGAGAAAAGAGGATTAGCAATTTCTACTGCCACAGGATGAAGGAGACACATGGCTTCAGGGGAGAAACAGAGCCAGAAAAGGATATGAGGAGAAGGTAGTTTCTCCAAAAGAAAACAGGGCTCTGGGGTTGGAGACACAGGTAAAGGGTTAAGCACCTGAGCTCCTGAGTGCCCTTGGGAAAAGCCAGGAGGAGTGGAAACAGGAGTATCCCTAGGACTTGATGGCCAGTCAAGCTGTGAAGCTGTGAGCCGCAGTTTCAATGTAAACACTAACAGTAAACACTAACAGTGACTAAGGAAGACTGTTGTGAATGTTTTGGTTAAAATTCCAAGTTGGGGATTTTAGCTTGTCCACACCCATTAAGTGTCTCAAGTGGAATGTAGTTTTTCCCAGGTGGAATCAGGTGAATTCTGAGGACTTTGAGGGGCATAAATGACAGCCCAGAGGAAGGCGCAGCTGCTTGGAGGAGGACTGCTTGCTGCTGGCTTGTCCTGCCGCTGCATTTGCTGTTTGCTGGTTACCTAGATATCTGGATCTCTGATCTTGGTTTTGATTTCTGGATATTTGATATTGGTCTTGCCTCAAAGGAATCCTACGACCCTACCCGGCGGGAGGTAGCAGAAATAACTATGGCCCCTGTCCCTCCTACCTGGTGTTGGAAGGGAGGTAGAAGCATTTAATAACCCTAAATAAAGTAGGTTTGTTAAAAAGTCAAGGACAACAGGTGGCAGCCAACATGGCTTAGGCACAGTGGTAACTTCACTTCTAATGGAGTGGAGGAGTCGTCATGGTTTGGATAGGTTGGCAACATAGCAGCTGCTGCCGCTGGGTGGTCTCCTGTCTTGCTCCCAGAGGGGGTTTTCTGGTTTTGCTTCCTAGTCTTCATATATTCCATGTGGAAAGAGGTTGGGAGGAAAGCTGAAAACTCAGAAGGGTCACTCCATTCTCTGGTGTTAGAAAGGATTGCAGAGCTGGCTATGCACCTAGAGAGTTTGCGAATAGAGGCTGAAGTGCTCGGAAGGCAAAAAAGTGTCAGTGAAAGGAGAAAAAAACAACGGTCCTGGTCTGATTTCTGAGAGCGGAAATTTCCCCGGAGGGTCAAAGAGGAAAGCAAATTAGGCTGGAAGGCAGATTGCTGCCCGCCCTGCTCCATGCCCTTTTGCAGCCAGATGCCCAGAGCACCTGCGTGAGGCAAGAGACCGGGAAGAGC